TCAGCCTTGCCAAACGACCACGACGACAAAGACGACGAAGACGACAACGACGACGACGACGACGACGCCGACGACGACGCCCGCCACCGCCGTCGTCGCCGTGGTCGCCGGCGCCGCGCGACGCGGCCGCTCCGCCACGGCGGCGGCCGCCGCAGCGGCGGCCTCTGCGGCGGCGGCCGAGGCCGCCGCGGCAGCGGCGGCAGGCTCGCACCGCCGCGCCGCGGCGGCGCCCTCCTGCCAGAAACGCGGGGAGCAGGGATCGACTCAGGCAGTGTTTCGGGACGTACAGAGACATAGATAATAATATTATCAGGGGGACGTAAGACCTGGGTACAGCGGACTCGGAAATCCCCGACGAGGTCGTCAAAAAAATGACGAGGTCGAGCCTGCATTTTGACGAGGCCTCCCGCTGCAGACATCCCACGAAACTCCTCCTCGTCAAAATCCGAGGCGCGGTCGCCAAAAAGCGATGGCGAACCCGAGTCCTGGCAAACCCAGGTCTTACGCTCCCCCGATATTACACCAGAGACATACTAAGATTACGCCATGATGGTTTGAAATGGGATCGGTGAAGAGATCGATAAGGAGATCGGCAGGGAACCCGGGAACCCGGTACCCACCGAGACCAGACCGGAACCAATGACCAGGAACCCGGGAATCCAGAACCGGGAACCCGGGAACCTGGGAACCCAGCCGGCCACCGCAATCGGCGGGACACTTTCACCAAATATTTTAATTTCCGCTAGGACCACGTCATTGCAAGCATTGATTGGGGAACTACGTCTTCCTCGGAGGCGCGAATCCGACCCGAACATCTAGTATACCCATCTTGTGGTAGATCGCTTCCCGATCGGTGTGGCCTGAAAGCGCCCGCGACGACGCATACACTATGAGGTTTCTCTGTGCGCGCGTCGACCCCTGGGGGGGCGACGCACACATAGTCTTAGCACGCTGGGGTGGCGCCGATGTTTCGTTGTCGTACTGTGTTCGTGCTCACGCCCGGAGCCCTCGACTCCAACTTCCTGCGCAATTGTTCAGGCCCCGTCGATCTGTGAGGGCCCCAGGGTCTCAGGAGAAGTTCGTTCCCCCTTTCAAGTCGAACTTCGTGCGGAGTTATCTGGTAGATGCTTTTGGCCAGGAATGAGAACTCATCAACATCCACGCGGAGCTCAATTCGCTGTTCGCTCGCCATTTCGGGGGTTTGTGTTGACACGAATCCGCGCAGAAATCCGCTGCAGCACGTCTGCAGGGTCGGTGCAGTGATCGTTTGCATGGACCCCCGTCGATTGAGCCCCCCGCCCCCTGCCCTGATGCCTCAGGGCTCCCGCGCCCAGAGCCCTATGTCAGGGCTGAGCCTAAACGGTGTGTGTGTGTGTGTGCGTTCGTTTTCGTGTTGTTTTCGTATTCCCTCGCTTTGTCGTCAATCCACCTCTACCGGAAAACGAAGCCGAAACCAAAAGGGCCCACGAAATCGCCAAAACACAATTTGGGCCCAACCCTGCCTTACATCCAATCTCTCTGCGTCGTTATTCGGGCCATATCGATCCGTGAGGGTCCTGGGGCCCCAACAATGCGAAAACGCACGGCTCGAAAAAATTGGAACGCAAGGATCTCAGAGTCTCTCGCGCTCCGAACCGCTCCGTGAATTTCATCACGTTTTTGGATCAGGAACGGCAACTACAAAACATCCACGTGAAATTCACTTCGTTCTTCGCTCGCCGCTTCGGGGCTCTTGCGTTGACACAGACCCACGCACAAATCATCTGCAGCACATCTGCAAGGTCGGCGCAGGGAAACGTGTATGCTCATGCACCTTCTTCTTCCTCTGCTGTCGCTGCCGCCGCGGGCCGTGTCCACTTGGGACAAGCGTTGCCTGCACAGCAGCCGCCGCAGTCCGTGTTCGACAGCTTTTTCGGGAGCGGCCAAGAGGGGGGTGTCCAAGAAGGGGGGGTGCAAACCGTGACCGGCAGCATGTGCGCGGCCCAGCGGGGGGGCCAGGGACGCAATGAACTAAGAAGAGGCGCCATGAAATATGAGGAATTATCATGGCCCCCGACATGATGCCACATCCACCCCCCCTAGTCCTCACCCACCTTTGCCGCCCCCGATTCAATCCATGCTTGCGTTTCCTCGAGGAGGAGGAGGAGGAGGAGGAGGAGGAGGAGGACGAGGAGGAGGAGGAGGAGGAGGGGGAGGAGGGGGAGGAGGAGGAGGAGGAGGAGGAGGAGGGGGAAGAGGGGGAGGAGGGGGAGGAGGGGGTGAGGCGAAGGAGGAGGAGGTGGAGGAGAACGAGAAGGAGGAGCCCTAGTCAGCACACCCCTAGTCATCACCCCCCTCTTTGCCGCCCCCGACGCTTGCACGGAGCCGCAGTGACCGTTTGCCTGATCCCGGGGCTCCCGCGCCGCGCGCCGTGCTTCGGACCGCCTCGCCGGGTGGCAAGAGCGGCCGCCCGGGCCGGGGCGGCCGCGAGGGCGCGGCGAGCGGCGCTTGCGTCTATTTTTCCCGTGCCTGCTCCAGTGTCGTGCGTGCTTTTGTTGGCTCGGTGGTCCGGGACGGTCCTCGATGGCCCTCGCCGAGAAAAAAAATGCACACGCCCGAGCAATGCCAGGGGCCCCCTGCAGCGCCGGAGGGCCCCCCGCCCCCCCATGGCGCCGAGGCCGCGGCCGCCGGGGGGGGGGCCCCTCTTATCCTGGGGCCCGAGGCCCAGAGCGCTGCACGCAGGAGCGGCCCTGGGCAAGAATCCTCGGGCGGCCGCGAGCGACTGCCTACCAGACCACCCAACCCTGACCCGAAGACACACTTCTCGGAGTTTGGGGCAGTGCAGTCGAGGCACTATCAGAAGGAACGCTAAATAAGGAACGAAGCCCATTCTTGGCCCCAAAAGCGCCTAGGTGCACGAGGAGTGATGGAGGAGGAGCCATGGAAGAACTTAAGGAACAACGAACCCCCTCCGCACCCGAGGCGCTCCTTCTTTCAGCGTCGTGGACGCCCGAAATGGGTACGGCAAAAATGGGTACAATGCCCAACAACAAATGTTGTCCCAAACCAACAGCGGCCGCTGTTGGGCAGGCGGCCTTCTGTCTCGCATGGACACAGAACGCGGCGGCGCGGACAGCGAGTCCTGTTCAGTGGACAGGAACTGCTGTTGGGCATTGCACCCATTCTTGCCGTGCCCACCTCGGGCGTCCGAATATACGGGTTCCACATAGGTTTCCGGATGTTCCCCGGCGCGCCCCCCCCCGGAGGAGGAGGAGGAGGAGGAAGCGAACGAGGAGGAAAGAGGAAAAGGAGGATGCGAGGCAGAGAGGCGGAGGACGGCGGAGGAGGCGGAGGAGGAGGAGGCGGAGGGGAGGAGGAGGGGGAAGGCGGAGGCGGAGGGCAGATTGGGGCTTCGGGGCTGGGTGGCGTGGCTTCGGTGGGTGGGGAGCAGAGGACCCCATCCGCGCGCCCAAGGCCGTGATCCCTCAGCGCGTCCGGCAATGGGGGGGGACCAGGAGTGAGGAGGGTGGAGGGGAGGAGGAGGAGGAGGAGGAGAGGAGGGAGGAGGGGGCAAAGAGGAGGAGGGGAGGGGGAGTGGAGGAGCAGGAGGAGGAGGAGGAGGGCGGAGTAGGGGGGACAGGCAGTGGGAGGAGTCGGAATAGGAGTAGGATGAGGCGGTGAGGAGGAGGAGTAGGAGGAAAGGAGGAGGCAGGAGGAGGAGGAGGAGGAGGAGGAGGAGGAGGAGGAGGAGAGGAGGAGGAGGAGGAGGAGGAGGAGGAGGAGGAGGAGGAGGAGGAGGAGGAGGAGGAGGGAGGAGGAGCAGGAGGAGGAGGAGGAGGGAGGAGGAGCAGGAGGAGGAGGAGGAGGAGGAGGACGAGGAAGAGGAATTGCCTGGGGAAGGAAGAACGAGGAAGAGGAAGGGGAAAAGGAGGATGCGGAGGCAGAGGCGGAGGCGGAGGAGGAGGCGGAGGCGGAGGAGGGAAAAGGAAGAGGAGGAGGAAGAGGAGGGAAAAGGAAATTGAAAAGGGGGAAGCACGAGGGGGAATGAGGCAACGCACCAGCAGCCACACTCTTGCAAAAGAGGCACCCCCCGAGCGCGCTCGCGCGGCGGCGGGAGGGGGGCCACGGCGTCTCCTCCAGGGCCTCTTCGGCGGCCCGCAGCCGGGCGTCCTCCGGCACCGGGTAAGCGGGGCAACGGGGAAAGCGGGCCCCCTCCCCCACTGCAGCACGTCTGCAAGGTCGGTGCAGTGATCGTTTGCATGGACCCCCGTCGACTGCGCCCCCTCACCCGCCCCCTGCCGTGCTGCCCCAGGGCTCCCGCGCCCGGAGCCCTATATCAGGGCTGAGCTACAGTCAAAAACCCTGATAAGGACGCGCGGTAAGGACGCAAGACCCTTGGAAGCCGAAGTTGGGATTCTTGGGGCGGCGGACGACGAAAACCTCAAGGACGCAAGAGCAAGGAAGAGCAGGGACGCAAGGGTACCCTGAGCAAAGTCGGGCGTCCTTTTTCGGGTTTTTGACTGCAAGACGAGGATAAATTCGGGTAAGGATAAGTCGAGGATCTCTGAGATCTGCCGGCACTGGAGGACGTTTCTTGCGCCGCGGCCTTCTCAGAGCGTTCCGGAGCGCTCTGAGAGCGCTCTGAGAACGCTCTGGATCGGGTTTGTCCTCGTCCTAGCCCTGTCCGCTGGCCCCCCCTTCTTTGCGGTCCGCGCGGACTCTTTGGTTCGGCCTCGGACTCCCCTCCTTGGCACGCGGCTCGCGCCAGGGGCGGCGCCGCAGGCGCCGCCAGGAGTGGATCCAACGCCGATCCAAGACCTCTCCGTGCCTGCGTCCGAACAGATCATGCTGACGTATGTGCTATCGTGCTGAACGACCTTCTCCTCGCCCTAACTCCGCCTGGCAACAAGCGCTTCGTCCTGCGCCGTGCCTTGACGGCTCGAGGGCTGGGAAGGGCCCGAGGAGGCCCAGGATGACCTCCCAGGAGTTGCATCCGAAGCTGGCGTTGCGCGGGGCAGGTCCTGCGCCTCCACGAGCCCCGCCAGCCCCGCCACCTCGCGGCGCATCGCCGCCAGGGCCACGCCGGGCTCTGGGCCTCGCCGGGGGCGGGCGGCGAGGCCGGACAGGCGAAGCACCAAAAGAGGACCCCAAACCCTTTTGGAGGGGACCTACGTTAGGAGGGCCAGGAACTCGAGGGATACCTATCGGTCGAAAGAAATAGGTAGAAAAAGGAAGTAGGAAGGCAAGGAACATAGATTGGGTTCCGTCCGCTCCCGAAGGAGGACGGAAAAAGTGAAGCCACTCGATCATTGAAGTGGGTAGGCGCTTAAAGTAGTAGATTGGAATCTGGGAATCCAAAGAACCTACTTTCAACGACCGATGGATAAGGGGTCTTTTCTGCAGATGTATCGAACCAAACCGCCCAAAAATATAATCCATGGTGCGAAGACGGGGACCTCCGTGAGGCTTCGTCTACATCGTGTTACCGGGGGCAGGGGTTCCTTGACCCCCAATGAAACAGAACAGGGGTGGCAAGGGAGGCCTCCTGAAGGCGGAGGCAGAGCAGTCGTCGTCGTCGTCGTTGTCGTTGTCGTCGTCGTCGTCGTCGTCGTCGTCATCGTCGTCGTCGTCGTCGCTTCCATCATTGTCGTTGTTGTGGACTGTACTGCGACCGGGTCGCAGGGGTGCGCGGAAAAGATATCGTGGCCAACGATACTTGCCAAGGATGGGCCGAATATACAGCGATGAAACGGGTGTCCTTGGTCGGGACTCCCTCAATCTTGTTAGGTTTGACTGTGCTTGGAACTGCACAGCGCCAAGCAAGCTCAGAGTCACGCAAGGGCCAACCTGCGACAGAAGATCAGCGACACACGAAACCAGAGCAGGCGCAAGAAAAGCAAAGCTGCCCTGCGAGCGTGGCCGCAATCTGGGCCCTGTTGATCACTTCTCAACCGCATCCGTCCCATCGCCGCTGCACCAGCGACGTCGAAACTACGAACATCGGGTTGTGGATCGCGCCGCATCGCAAATGCACCGGTGACGCGGCCTGACCTGCCGACGCCATCTGCTCTGGCCCCCAGTCGAGAGGCTTGACCTCAGACGTCGAAAAGAGGCCAGGACCCCACCTCACTCTCTTGCCGTCGCTCGGACGTCAATTTCCCGTGCATATGTCGGTTTCGTGCATGTTTTTTTTTTGCTCGATGGTCCAGGATGCTTCTCGATAGTTCTCGCCGACCAAAAAATCGCATACGTCCGCGCGATGCCAAGCTCCTCGAGGCGCAGGTGGCTCAAGGCGTCTCCGCTTCCGGCCCCTCTCCTGCCGGCGGCCCGCACAGAGGGGCAGAGGAGGGGGAGGGCTTCTCGGAATGAGGCCGCCTGCTTCTTGAAAGGCCCAGGCCTCGTCTACAGATGGAGGGCCAGCGCCAGCTGAGAAGCAGCCTCCCTCCTAGAAAAGCCTTCCCCCTCCCGCTGCTCCCACCTGCGCGTGGCCGAGACGTTCCAGGCGCAGCATTTGCTTCACACGGGGTATTCATCCCCCAGTTCAGGGCCCATGGACCCCGACCCTCCCTGATCGACCTGACTCGAGCAACCTCTCCCGACAAGAACGGGAAGCGCATGACATCGAAGAGCTGCGCTAGACCTTGCGACAACCAAGTAAGCCCCCCCCCCCACGAACGTCCACACATCTGAGAGAGTTGAGACTCGGGTTCCGGGGACTCGGGTTGGCCTGACGGGGCCATCAAGAAAATGAGGAGACTCAATCTGAAATGTGGAAAATCGGCATATCAGTCAGAGAGTCGGAATCAATCAGGATCGCCAGCGCAAGGATGCACACCAGCGTCACGCAAGCAACTGGGCCGCATCGGATCGTCGGAAAATATCTCCACGGGATCGAGTCGGGCTGGGCCGACCAGAACCGATGTCGAATCGGATCGATCAGCTCGACGTGGACCCACGTGGACTGCATGGACCCTAGAGAAGGTGAGGAGGAGATCGCCTGGCCCCTCGCTGGGGACCAGGAGGAGAAACCGCCGAGCCCAACCCGTACCGTCAACACAAGCAATTAGACAATGTGATGCACAGGAGCGCTATAACACGCAACTTGGGCACGATCGCGCCGAGAACGAACGGCAATATGTATATGACAAGACATCAGCTTTGGGTGACCCCAAATGGGGGTCCAGCTGAAAGGGGGTGGTGCAATAGATTTGGGGCAATTGTATTGCAAATGTATTGCGCCAGAGAATTGTATTGCATTGTATTGCAAGGAAATTATTGCGCGCGAAGGTCGAGCAATACGTCTGCGCCCCGGAATGTATTGCACACCTCAGATGTACTGCAACCCTACAATGTCCATTGCACCAAATCTATTGCACCACCCCCTTGTCGCTGGGCCCCCTTTTTGGGTCAAACCGATCGGTGCTCCAGGTGGCACCTTCGCACTTGGCCATTTGAAGATGCTAAAACAGGGCTAGGATCGGGATAAATCGCTCCAGAGCGTTCTGGAGCGCTCTCAGAGCGTTCCGGAACGCTCTGGAGCGGCCGCGGCTCCCAAAACATCCTCCAAACCCGCCGATTCTCAGAGATTTCGAGTTATCCCGATCCGATTTTGTCCAGATCTTCGCGTCGTTTTTAGAGGCAGCGGCCGTCCGCCGCAGCGGCGGGGCGCAGGGCCGGGCGCCGCGGCACCGCCCTCGCCAGCCTCAGACCCTCGCCGCCGCCGTCGGTCCCGGAGGCTTCCCCCCGAAGGCTCGGAGGGCCCCCGGGCGGCGTGCCTCGCCCACTGGGCAGGCGTGTCCCGATGGAACTCACAAAGTTAGGTGCTCATTCTGGGGACCTTCCTGGAGCCACTCGCTCCACTCGTGCGTCGAAGCTGCGTCGAAGCAGCGTAGAGCCTGAGTCGAAGCTGAGTCGCACCTGAGTCGAACCTGAGTCGAATCTGTGACGAACCTGAGTCGAACTTGAGTCGAACCTGAGTCGAACAGATCCATTAGGTGGGCCCCAGGAAGGTCCCCAAAACGAGCATCGAAACAAAGGGCCTCTGGCCCAAGCATCGTCGATAGCCGAATCAGACCCGAGCAGGCGGCGCGGGCGGTGGTCAGCTCACGTCACTTCGCTTCGCGGCAGGCCCACTCCAGGCCCTCCCGCCGCTGTCGGCCGACGCCGTGCGCCGTCGTCCGTCGTCGCCGCCGTCGCGGCCGTCGCCGTCGCCGCCCTCGTCCCTCGAAGGCCTCGGGGGTAAGAGGACGACGAGGAGGGCAAACAAGCAGGCAAGCCTTGCACCCAGACGGCGTAACGGCACAAAGGAACACAGGTGCCCTTGAAGCTCACGCCTTCGTCAGGGAACCGCTGCGCATGTCAACGCTTTCTTCTTCGGCGTTTCGACATTGGGCGCAGGGGGGGGAGGGGGGGGTCTGGCTCCGGCGCTCTGCTTTGGGCCACTGTTGGCAACAGTGCGTCCTGTGGGGGAGAAACTCCACCTGCTTGAAACGGGCGCCAAGATCTACTCCACGTGGGGAAGGGGAGGGGGTGCGAGGGCCCGCGACGACCAGCAAAACAACGAATAAGAAAATGATCGCTATACGCTGGGAGCCCATTGCTGTTTGGGTCTCCCGCGAGCACAGTTCTCGTCCCAGACCCCAGATTCGAGGCATATTCGACTTGGTTTTGCACATTGGGCTGCGTGATTAGTGTTCCTCAAGAAGAGCGGCGGTTCCCTTGCAGAGCTTCGTCTGGTGCTCGAACGAGTCCTCACTCAGGTCATGCACGCCGGTCTGTTCCAAAATGCTGCGGCTCGGAACTCTTGAGACGTAGGCGCACGGAATGCGACACATGTTCCTCAGACGCTGCACCTGACAAAAGTTTGGCCTGTCGGCGATTCCAGGGTGGCTCCGAGCTGTCGGCGCGCACGAGGAGGTGGCGCGAATGCGGCGGCCTTCCAACAAGGCGGGGGAGGGCTTCGCTCGAGAATGGGATCGATTACAGAATCGGTGTACCCGAGAACGAACCTTCTCCTCGAGTCTACGAGCACATACCTGGAACGGTTGCAGATCCCTGGAACGATTGGCTCGCAGACTCGACGAAGACGTCAATTCTGGGGCACAGCGATTCCGTGGGCGATCCCCTGCAGTGCGGACACGGCCGCAAGAAACCCCGGCAAGACGCGCAGCCTCGAAGACCCGCGCGAGAGGTGCGGCTGGGGGGAACCCCTTGGTCGCGCTGCAAGGAACAGGAACACTAGTCAAGCATTACTCAACCATCTAAACTTATATAAAAAAACGTACCCATACTACTCCTTGACTACTCCAGATTTCGTAATACAAGGGAGGGGGTCTGGACCCTCCAAGACGAGCCATTTCAGACCTCCCCCGTGGGAAAACCCTCAAGAACATCGTCCCCAGACCCCCCAGGCCCTCCAAGATAGCCTGGAAGAGACCCCCCCCCCGAAATGAGACCCCTCTCCCTTTCTTACGAAATCTGGACTATGTCTGAATGCTCCTCCTGTAGAGGGGACATGCCCGACTTGAGACGGGGGGGGAACCCCCGGGCACCCCAATCGCAGCAGCTTCTTCCCGCGGCCGCATTACTCAACCATCTAAACTTATATAAAAAACGTACCCGTACTACGTCTTGACTATGTCTGAATGCTCCTCCTGTAGAAGGGACATGCCCGACTTGAGACGGGGGGGGACCCCCCCGCGCACCCCGATCGCAGCCGCTTCTCCCCGCGGCCGCGGGAGGCCCCGGGCGCCGCGCGCGGAGAGCGAGAGGCAGCCCCGCGCACCCCGCTGGACGGCATCCCGCGTCGCGCCTCCACTGCACAGCGGGAGCTCGACCACAGGACACCTTCCACAAGAAACCCAACCCTAAGTCGGGCATGCCACCCTACAGGGGGACTTTCAACGAAGAATAAGGCATACCCCAAACATGCCCCAAAAGTGTCAAAACATGCTCAAAAAATAGCCCCCAGGCTGTTATTGGACCATTGTTTGACTATGTTGGAGGTATTTTTTATTTTTCGTCGAAAATCCCCCTGTAGGGGGACAGGCCCGACTTAAACCCAACCCTGAGACCCCAGGACGCCCATTGATTTCT